ACCTATAACTAAATAGTAGATCCTCAAGTTGGTTGACGCTCCCTTCTCCAGGGATCAATGAGATTCCTATATGAGAAAAAAAAATTGGCATCCTTATAAGCACTCTTCCTATAAGCACTCTCCTTTCATCCCAGGTATTACCTCCTATTCCTCCAAAGTTTAAGAAATAACCAACATTCAAACACAATTTGATTTACAAAAAGCAAATATAACCATACCTTTTCAAGATACACCATTTACACAAAGTAAAGAATGTCTATAAGATTGCCCCTGCCAAAGAGAGGCTTCTTAGACAGTTAGGATGAGGGTTGATAAAAAGTGGGGACGTCCTGGCCAGTATGACTCAGCTGACTGGGCATCATCCTGTGCTCCAAAAGGTTGCTGGTTGGATTCCGGGTCAGGGCACACGCCCCAGTTGTGGCCTGGTGGGGAACGTGCAGGAGGCAGGCGATCATGCTTCACTCTCACGCCAATGTTTCTCTTTCTCTCTCTCTCTCTAAAGATAAAAATATTTAAAAAGCAGGGAAAACAGGGACTATGGAATTTAGTATATGAAAAAGAACTCTGTAATTATGAAGTAGTTGAAGAAATAGTTAAATATAAAAGGGCTGTTATGACCATGACCAAATGACATTTATAAAGTAAAAAGGGAAAAAATGAGTAATAGTAGTATGACCCTAATTTAGAGAAGAAGCCAAGTTAAAAAATGTAAACTAATGTGAGTAGTGTGGGCAAGTGGTGAAAAAAGATTTAGATACTGAAAGGTGTGTCATAAGGAGAAAAAGTTCAGCAAAGGAAGGTCATGTGGAGGAACTCTTAAATAAAAAAGGCAACCATGGAATCTAAGTTGGTCATAGCAATTCTGATTTCAAACATTCTGCATATCAAATCATTTTGTTCTGATTTTTCATTCAGAAAATAGTCTCTGTTGTACCTATTTGCATCCACAACTCCTATAAAGTTGTCTTTAACATAGGAAAGGCTCAACTGTTTGTTGGTAATGATAATTTCATGGAATTTCAAAGAAAAGAAAGTACATTATAAAATCAATAATAATTAACCATTCTTAAAGAATAAAAATATATAAGTGGTCATTGCCTATTTACTAGTATCAATAGGAAACTAGAGTCTGGAAGATCTGTTTAGCTTAGAAAATTGGTACCATACTCACCTCTGCTGAGAACATCAGTGCTGGGTGGGGATGAAGCCATAATCTGCCAACATCTGAATCATCCTTGCCAGGTTAGGGGGTTCTGCAGATAAGTTACTGCTACCAGGTCTGACTGCCATAGCTCAGGAAAATGGTGCAGTCATTCCTCTTAGTGTAGAATACACTTGGGAAGAAGTCTGAGAGACCTATGTAATATTAAGCCCCAGAAAGACAGCATTAGTGATGGTTTGGACATGGAATGTAAGAGCTAACAGTTGTGGAATGCTTACTGTTTCAGGAGCTGATGTGTTACCTTATTTAATGCTTTGGACAACCCGATGGGGTAGAGGAATTGTTATTAATTCCATTTTATAGGAAACCTAGGCTTAGCAAGGTTGAGAAACTGTTCAAGATAACAAAGGTAGTACAGTACATGGCAGAGCTGGGATTTGAACCCATGCAGTCTGGTACCTCAGGGTGCGTATATTCATAACCACCATGCTACAGCTACATTCAAACAAGCTGGGAGGAAAAATCACTTTTCTAAAAAGGGCACACTGATTCTCTCAAAAGTGATCTGTGTTCATTTGATCCTATATTAGCTACTTAATCTTAAACTCAGATTCCAAAAAGTTAGACTGGCATTCATGTGCCAACTTTAAATAATAGTAATCCCACTTTAAATCTTTAACATCCATAATATTTTACAACTTAAAATAGTGAAAATGGACAGTCTCTTAGTCTCCAAGATAGTGAAAAATGGGGATAGTGCATTCCCTCCAGATGAGATGACAAAGAAATACATATAAACGTCATAATCCATTTATTGGAATTACTTGATTTCAATGAATTGCTTAAAAACAATATAATAAAATAGGTCACTTAAAAAAAAAAATCAAGTGCTGTCGGCATATCGGCAAGTTTCAATATATTTCCTGACAAAGAACTTTTTCATGTTGGCTACATGACTCAGAATCACCTAAATCCACACGACATTATCAAGTCCACATAAATCGTGGCTTTTCCCCTAACCTGCTCTTTTCTGTATCAGTATCCATTTACATCTTAGTGTATCACTTCGTCTTTTGGTGAAAGTTTCGTCTCATTTCATCAGACGATTAAAAAAAAATTTTAGTTTTCCTTCCTCTTTTTAAGTGGATGAAATTTTTACTACGGAAGCTATTGCTACACTACCAAATACCAGTGTCACTATTTAAAAGTAGACCACCCCCAAAACGGAATTACCGATAAAAAAACGTCAGGTTCGGATCGGCTCCCGCCCCGAAAGGGGGGCGGGGGGTGGGGACTCGCAGACATTCAATTGGGAGGGCCGGGTGGAGGGGCGGTCGGAAAAAGGAGTGATTGATTCAAGTCGTAGCTAAACATTCCCTGCGCCACTTACCCAGCGCAAAAAAAAAAAAAAAGGGGGGGGGTGGGGGTGGGGGGCTGGACTGTATTTAGAGCGGGGGGGGGGGAGGGGGGGCCTGCGGGTGTGCGGGACGGGTGAGAGCCTGCAGCCGGGACGCGGGTGCCAGGGAGCGCAGGGCTGCATCAGAGCCCCTCGCCACCCCGGCGGGGCGGCCGAGCAGGGCCAGGCCTTCAGCGCCCGCCTCCGGGCGTCCGCCTCCGGGCGCCCGCACACTCGCTGGCCCGGCCGCCAGCCCCGCGGACGGACGGCCGCAGCCGCTTACCGGTGGCGCCTCGCCGCCTCCTCCGGGGCAGCCCTCCAACGGTTGCCGCAGTCAGAGCACCACCCCGCGGCGGGGCACGTCGAGTCCGCCGAGCGCTCTCCGAGTCCCGCAGCGCCGCCACTCTCGCGAGAAGCCGGCCGAGCCCGAGAACTGGAGGGGGGAGGAGGAGAAGGAGGGGGAGGAGGAGGAGAAGGGAGGGGCATTTAACGGTGGCAGCTGGTTCTGCGCCGGATCCGGGAGCGGGGCGGGCGCCATTGTGCTTCGCTGCCGACTGCTCGGCCTCTGAGTCCTCGCGCTCCGAGGAGGAAGGCGGCGGCGAGGGCGCCGGGAGCGGGTCGCGCCCTGGTCAGGACCAGCCCCGGAGCGGAGGTAATGGGCTGCGGAGCTCGGGCTTCCCGGGTGGGGGGAGGTGGTGTAGGCCAGGCCGCGGTGGGGGAGGGGAGGGGCCGGAGTGCAGGCCGGAGGCCGCGGAGGCCGCTTCCTCCTCAGCGAGACGGGGCGGACGAGCCGGGTGCGGGACCGCGGGCGCGGAGGGATGCCGGTGGCCTGTGGCGGACGGAGGGGAGCAGATGGCGCGCCTCTTAGACGCACGGGGGCCGAGGGCCAGGGGCTGGAGCCCGACTTTGGTCTCTGGCAGCGGCCTTTCGACGGGGTAAGGAGCGCCCCCGAGCCCTGCGGGCCGGGAGGTTCCCGGGGGGAGGGGGGTCGGGGCCCCGCCAGCCCGGCCTCGAAGCGAAGGGGCTGTCCCTGCCCCTCGGCTGCTGCGAGGATTTGCGTCGGGATCCCGTCCCCGTTCTCGGATGGCGTGAGACTCGGGGGCGTTCTTTTGGGGCTGTGGTCAGTTGTGTGGCTTTCAGCGTGAAACAGGTGATGACATGTCTAAAAAACGGACCTGATGGCGTAAGAGTTAAAAATATGGAGGCCACCAGTGGTAGAACACTCCCTCATTTTGATGAAACTGCGTAGTGAGGGCTTGAGAACGTGTGCGAACACGTACCAAAAAATACTAAAATACTTTTTTCCCCCCTACGTATAGATGTAGATAATATGTACGGAAACTCTGTCTTGGTAATAAATTCGTCACGACTGGTGTCGTTTGGCACTTTTCAAAAGTAAAGGTGCCAAGTGAAATTGAATTTGGTAAGACCACCCTCCCCGCCCCCCGATTTTTGTAGGATTTTTTTTTTTAGGTATTTTTATTATTTTAAGCCTCCCCTTTTCTTACTCCTATCCTTCCATAATGTTATAGAGCTAAGAGGTAAGGTTAAGGCTGAAGTTTTGGCTTACAACAGACAGTTTAGGTTTTTTCCTCATGATTTGGGGTATTTACAGCTCTGCAGCATTATGTGAAAGAACAGTGGTGTAGCAGAAGATCTGGCCATGAGTCTTGATTTTTGCAGCAAATTATTTAACCTCTTCACATTTCCTTAGAAATGCAGCAGTTAATGCCTAGACTTGATGTGAGGAGTAACTTAGATGAGGCAGTTGGCAATACTGGGGGACCTAATGCTTGCGGAGTGAATTCTCAGTGGACGGACGCAATTGGAGTTGGCACCTAACCTCCACTTGTTCGGGAATTCTTGTCCAAATAACCTTAAAAGTCTACTCTTGCCTGTCATGTCCCCCACAGATTGCTCACAGCTTCACACCATATATACTTATATAAGCTCTCTACTACGAATGTGTTTAGGTAAGAACTTTAACAACTCTTATTTTGCCTTATGCTTACATACCACAGATGTAAGCATAGTCGGGGGTTTGTTTGTTTTTCCAACCTCTTGCCTGCTGGGTAAATGTCTTGAGTCAAATTTAAAATTCCTACTTATTTAAGTACAAGTGATTTATCTTTCTGCCACATTAGCAAGGGAGCTTATTTTCCTAGATGAAGCACAAAGGTGCCCCTACTTAGACATGCCACATAGGTTTTACTTGAAGTTCTCAAATCATCAACTTGGATATAAAAAGTCATCCGTGGCACTCATGCAGCCAATTTTTAATCAGCCCTGTATTCACTTCACAAACTCTTCATCTGGTATGTGTTCAAGAGTTACCCACACTTTACTGTTGTATTTTAGGAAAATAATTGTAATGGTGCAAAATTATCAAATAAGGTAAAACATTTTTTGATAATAGGTTGTTTGTTGTTTACTGGTTTCTAGATGAGGGCTTCACGTTTCAAGGAATGAGCTTGACACACAGCGTCTGCCCTCCCAACAGCTCACAGTTTAGTCATCAGACTAATATATAAACAACTACTCCTATTATCTTAGTGTAAGTATATAATAGTACCTTGGCAGCACAGAGGTACCTTGGCAGCACAGAGGATGGGTGTTTATTCTTGGGGAAGATTTTACAGGAAGTATTGCTTTAACAAAGATGTGAAGGATGATGACTTAAGAGTTTGATAATGAAACTGCAAAGTCATAGTATCATGGTTTTAGGAGTGGGCAGTTCGTTCCCCATAGCTGAAACAAATTGAATGGAAATTAGAGCAGGCCATGAACGACCTGTATTGTTTTACAAAGTTAGTGCTCTGCTGTTGGGATTGGAGAGCTATTGCATCCCTGCACCAAATAAAAATAGTTTTTAGATTATCTTTGCTGATACGTACTTCTTTACTACAATAATTAAGTGCCAGTGCCAACTGGGAAATGCACAGGCTTTCATCAAACCTCATTTTTAACCAACAAATTAAACTTAAGAAGTAATGAGTCTAAATAAAAGAATCAACAGCTGATCACATTTAAGATGATTACCATTTAAAGTGAGTAAGATTTTGAGTTCTTACTAAAACCTACTTGAATTCATTAATGCAGAATCCTATTACAGTGAAATAATTTATCTTCTCACAAATCATTATTTTGCAAGAAAATATATCTAAATACAGTTGCTAATCATAAAATGAACCCAAAAGCAGGGGCATAAACTTACAATTTGAGAGTTATTTGGCTGGAGTTTAATTTTTATTGACCTTAATTTTTAACTTTTATATTCTGGTCTGAACTCATGGTCAAAGCTGGTTTTTCTCGTTCTCTGTAATATACCGGTTAGACTAGATAAGTTGAACACCTGGTTTTCAAATCACCTACTTGTCTTCTACATACACCCACTTTTGTCAACAGCTTTAAAAGAAGGCATATTTTTTTTTATCTTAAAAGTTAGTTCTCATTTTCCATTATAATTATTGCACTTGAATGTAATTCTCACTTTCCAGAAAAAAACCCTAAAATGGTTTCCACTTACTGAATGAAGATTGAAACTTTAGACATGAATTTTAAATACACTTCAAAGGAGAACAGATTATCTCAAAGTACTGTGGTGTAGACTTATCATAGTCACATTTTCTCATGGAGATATTGAACTTTTTTCTAGTTATTTTTTAAAGATGGATCTTTGTGTCTTAAGTATTTGTTAGCTAAAAGACTTTGAAAGACCCAAAAAATTCTGTGCTTTCCTCATGTGACCACCCTTAGCTTCCATGTCTCCATGTTCACTAAGAACAATAAAACACGAGAATTTCTTATTGAGAAAAAATTTTTCCCCAGAAGCAGATTTAAAAAAAAAGAATATACCAAGTACTGTAGGGATACATAATAGAATTTTAACTCTGTTTGTAGTTAATAATTAGCAGTTACAGTACATTGTTGTTTTTTATAACTCTGGCCTTCATGACATGTATGTAATGTATAGTAATGTTGTGCTTTTGGTAATTCAGCAACTGCAACTCACTTGGATATTTAAGGCAAATTCTCAGTTACCCCCTGAAATAGAATCAGATTTTTCTTAGAAACTGACATGATAATTGGAGGAAAGTGAAAGTTAGGTTTAGATTTTGAAGCTTTATGGCTGCATAGCAACCCAACTCAAAATCTAGTGGATTAAAGCTACTGTCAGTGTAAGAAAACATTGAAACCTGTGAAGAATTTTTTGTGAGTTTATGTGAGCCAAACTGTCAACAAATACCAGGAAGCAGAATTTCAGAGGATTGAGATAATGCGCTGGAGAATGGCAGTTTTGCACCTTATTGTATACATTACAGTCAAAAGAGGAGATGTAAATGGGTTACATGAAATCCATTGGTGATAGATTAGGGAGGCGGGAGAAAAAGCCAAGCAGGGGGAAACCTCTAGGTTGGATGAAAAGTAAAATGATAGACACACACTTCTTTTACTTACGTAGGTGCAGGATAGTTAACAATCAACAATAATTCAATCACAATGAGTCAAGAACAGCGTGGTGCCTGTGCTTTGAGGGGTTGGGGAGGAAAATTGTACTTTGCCATTCCAACAATATGTTATCGTAGATGCACAAAGACAATAGACAGGCTCAGTTAAGGTAAGATAACAGCTTAGGACATAACTCTCCACCATAAACTGCTTTTAGTTTAAAAAGTTTTAATTTCAGACCATCCTTTGTGGTTACTTTAGCTCTCCGAGTTTGCAAGGCCGTCACACAGGCCTTCCCTGAGCTAGTCAGGTTAGCATGGCCCCTTTTTGAACATACTACTGTTTACTATTTTTTTACACTTCTGTGTGCCTTTTGGGCAGGTATACTTGTTTTGCCTAGGTTCACTCATGTTCACCATTCAACTGGAAGATTTCTCAGGCTGGAAGGTCCAAGATGGCATCACTCACATGACTGACCGTTGGTGTTGCTTAATATTTAGGCTTTGCTCCAAGTGGTCTTTTATGATACGGGGGTTTCAAGACCAATCTGAGAGAGGGAAAGCGGAAGCTATAAGACTTACAGCTTGGCAAATCATATAATGTCACGTAACGTGGCACATTCTTTTATTTTTTTAAATTTTTATTATTAAAAGTATTAACGTATGTCCCCCTTTCCTCCCCCTCTCCCCCCTCCCATTAACCCCTTTGAGCCCACCCCATGCTGCACATTCTCTTAGTTAAAGTAAATCTCACAAGACAAGCCCTTATTAAAGAGGCATGGAATTAAGATTCCACCTCTTACTGGGCAGAGCAGCAATATCACAATACAAAGGGGCCTGTGTGCTCAGATGGGAGGGATTTATAATTTATCACAGGTTGCTGCCACCATTTTAAAAACAGGCATCCTTAATGTCATTGGGATTTGCTTTAAAATAGAGGATGGTAAAAGTAAAAGCAAGATAGGTTAATTGTTGAAGATTGTTGATTGGTACATAGAGGTTCATTATTGTCTCTATTTATTTTTGAAATTTTTCATAGTAAAAAAATATTTGATGCATACTTACCTATCTAAACTGCGTTTAGTGAAGTGATTTTAACCTTCCATTTAGTATTCACTAGAGTAGTACTTTATTGTTTTATATTTACTACTTCCTTTGTAGTATGTAGCTACTAAGGAGTGTAAACCATCAATACAGCAATTTCGAAAGAGAATTATTCTTAGGAGGTCTTTATAGAGTTTATTGTGATATAAGTTGTAAAAAAACCACATCTTTTCATTTGCAAGTAACTATTTGCCTTATTTATCAAAGTAAGACCAAGTACATTAAAAAAAATTTGGAAAACTAAGTATAAAGAAGGAAACAAAACCCACCCAGGGACACAGTAACATGTTAATAATAATGGCTATTTCCAAATTTTTATGCATGTGCTTATATAAGTAAGGTCTATCGGTTTCTTTGCCTTTTAGTAATTATCTTCCTGTATATAATCTCATATACTTTAAATAAAAAGTCCTTTTCTTTTGCCCTGGCCGGTGTGCACAGTGATTAGAGCATCGGCCTGCACACCAAAAGGTCTCAGGTTCAATTCAATTCCCAGTCAAGGGCGGCATGTACCTGGGTTGCAGGTTCAATTGCTGGTATGTGGGGGGAGGGGGGGTTACCACTCTCTCCCTCTTCCCCGCTCCTTTCCACTCTCTGCAAATCGATGGAAAAAATATCCTCCCGAGAGGATTTTTTTTTAAAGTCTTTTTTTTTTAATTGTGTTAAAATCCAAGCTCAAATAATGAAAAAACTAATAGAGTGTCTACTAAACTGTTCATATGAAAATCTTTTTTTGACATTGATGGTATTGCTTGATAATAGCTGGTGTTTGCTGAATACATACTATGTGCCAGCAAAGTTCATAATATACCTGTTTAGTTGATACTATTATAATTCCCCTTTTGTGGGTGAAGAAATTAAGCATAGAGATTAAATCTAAAGGCACAACCAAGTAAAGGACAGATTTCAAAGCTTGTGCTCATAACTATCATATTTCTACTATCATCTTTTTCCATGCTTCATTCTGGATGATTGGTTTCTAGCCTATTTCCCAATTCCCTAGTTTTCCAATTTTGCCAAGTTAATTCATTAGTTTCCCATTTTTTTAAACATTGGGGCTGTCTTCTGGTTTCGTTTATTCTTATCTCTCGGAATTGTGTTGTAAGTTTTTATCGACTAGCAAACATTTTAAATAAACAGTAGAGTGTTTATTATTTATTGCTGTATATGGACAGATATACTCTACTCTACTTTTGTTAGTCTGTTAGTGTGGTGGGTTGCATTAGTTTAGTCCAGTGGTCAGCAAACTGCGGCTCGTGAACCACATGTGGCTCTTTGGGCCCTTGAGTGTGGCTCTTCCACAAAATACCACGTGCGGCCGCGCACGTACAGTGCGATTGAAACTTCATGGCCCACGCGCAGAAGTCGGTTTTCAGCCTGGGCGAGTCTATTTTGAAGAAGTGGGGGCTGCCGGCCGGTCAGCGACGGGAGACGTGGCGCAGGGGAGGTACATTGTTTTGAGGTACATTCGCTGAGGTCAACCCCTTCCAACTCTCCCATCCACACTGGTCTATTTGAAACAAGTATACAAGACTAGTGTGGATGGGAGAGTTGAAAGGGGTCGACCTCAGTGAACGTACCTCAATCAGATGGAGGACGTTTTTAGCAAAGGCCAGCTTAGGAGTACCCTAATTAAGTTAATAACAATGTGCCTACCTATATAGTTTAAGTTTAAAAAATTTGGCTCTCAAAAGAAATTTCAATCATTGTACTGTTGATATTTGGCTCTGTTGACTAATGAGTTTGCCGACCACTGGTTTAGTCTGAAGTTGAACTGGGCTTGGGTTTTATTATTGCTTTATTTACCTTTAAAGTACTACAGTAGTGGACTGCCACTGTGTGGTACTTAATGTGAGGCCCAGAGTGGGGGAGTATTTCTTTTAGTATTCTTTCACTAGCCTCAACTTCCTGTAGGTCCTGCAAATCTGCATCACAATGGGGTTAGATTGTCTTAAGTCTCAATAGACTGCTGTTGCTTCTTATTTGGAGCATAACTCATAGT